TCTCTATCCAGGCTCACAAAGGGGGTGCCTGTGAAGTGAGGTTTCACATCTCTGGCCACAATATCTGATATCTGTCCTGCTTAAGAGACCTCAAACCCCATGGCTTCAGAACACAGGAGAGAAAATGACTTTCAGTAGGAAAAGGAGGCTCTAAGCCCCAAACATGAGGTTCTGGGACATGTCCTTAGCAGGAATCTGGAAAGAAACTACTCTGAGCTTGTCCCCCAGTGTCAGAGTCCACAGACACCGCTGGACAACCACCCACTGCCTGAAAAGAGAAAGAGGAAACCTGGAAGTCCAGCTGGACAGGGGTCTCAGCAGAGGCAATCCTGCCCCCAAGAGACCCTGGGCCATGTCTGGGCACAGCTGTGGTTGTCATGACTAGAGGTGCTCCTGGCATGGCATGGGTGGGGGCCAGGGATGCTGCACAACCTCTACACACACACACACACACACACACAGTGTCCAGGACAGCCTTCATCCACTGTAATGAGGAGGGACCTTAGACTGGACCAACAGCCAGAGTCTGAGACACTGGGGACACTCATGAAGGCATAGTCCCACACACAGTGCCCTTGTATATCTTTTGCCATTTTATGTTAAGACAGCTCCAAGAAAGGGTATCCTTTTTATATTATAGACAGAAAAGCCCAGGTAGTCCAAAGATCACAGGCTGTGAAAGGGACAGGCCCTGAGTACCCTGAGGTGGGGACACAACAGAACACATCTACTAGAGGGAGGCTGGGCAATACAGACAGCCATGCATTTTCTTCCCATGCACAGATGGGTAATGAGGGTGAATGGCAGTAAAGTGGCTCAGAAAGGAAACCATCTGGAAGAGAAACACCGTCTCAACTAGACAATGGACAGAGCCAGTCAGTGTTCTGTGTTTGTGCTGCAGGGAGAGGGTGGAGAGAGAACACACCCAGGCAGCCTTTAGCTGCAAACAGAATTCAAAAGAGCTCCCTCGGAGGGCCTCTGGTGACAGGCTGTAAGCTCTCTTCTCCGGGGCTTCCTGGCCAGGAGGGACGGAGGAGCCTCTCTGCCCTGCAGTCAGGAGGGCGGGTGGGTGATGCTCTGCAGGTGGCAGCTGTATCATCAGCATTTGGCACATTCTGCTAAATGGCCACAACTCCTGGCACCCTCTCGGACCCATCCGGAGCCTCCCAAGGCAGTGATTTTGGCTCTGGAAGTGCAGGCGGTGACTGTTCAGCCCTAACTGGCTGGAGCCAGAACTGGCAGGATAGGCCCACACCAAGTGGCAAATATTTTCAGCTTTGCAGGCCAGTCTCTGTTATAACTACTCAACTCCACCGTTACAGGTGAATGCAGCCACAGACAACAGGTCAACACCTGAGCGAGAGTGGGCACCCATAAAACTTTATTTATGAAAGTAAAATTTCAGTTTCAGCTAATTGCATGTCACATATTCTTTTAATTCTCCTCTACTCTTTAAAAATGTAAATATCATTCTCAATTTGCAACCCATACAAAAGTAGCCTACCAATTTCTGCTCTGGAAGGAGATACCTAAAACTCATACAGGCCAGGAATGAGAGTCTGGCTTTTAATGTGTTGGCACAAAACAGAATCACAGAAAAGGGACAATAGAGGGCAGGAGCCTGAAGAAGGTAACAGAGAGATGCAAATCAAAACAACAATGCGGTACCATCTCACACCTGTCAGAATGGCCAACATCAACAAATCAACAAAAAGACAAGTGTTGGCGAGGTTGCGGAAAAAAAGGAACCTTCGTGCACTGCTGATGGGAATGCAGACTGGCGCAACCACTGTGGAGAACAGTATGGAGTTTCCTCAAAAAACTGAAAATGGAACTCCCATTTGACCCAGTAATCCCACTCTTAGGAATATATCCCAAGAAACTAGAAACATCAATCAGAAAGGATATATGCACCCCTATGTTCATAGCAGCACAATCTATAATAGCTAGAATTTGGAAACAGCCTAGGTGTTCGTCAGCAGATGATTGGATCAAAAAACTATGGTACATCTACACAATGGAGTACTATGCTGCCATAAAAAAGAAGGAATTCTCATCATTTGCAGCAACCTGGATGGAATTGGAGAACATCATGCTGAGTGAAATAAGCCAGTCAATGAAAAAGAAATACCACATGACCTCACTCGTTTATGGATAATAAAGAACATTATAAACTGATGAACCAAAAGATAGATATAAAGACAGTAAACCAACAAGCAGACTGTCAAATTATAGCGGGGAGGGTAGGGAGATCTGGGGGAGATAAGAGATCAACCAAAGGACTTGTATACATGCATATAAGTACAACCAATGGACACAAAACTCTGGGGAGGGAGAGTATGTATGGGAGGTGGGGGGCAATGTTAAAATATGTACACAGTTAATAATTTAATTAAAAAGTTAAAAAATAAATAGTAAATAATAAATATTTTTTTTTAAAATAAAGAAGGTAACAAAACAACACGTAAAATAGTCCCTAAAATCTGGGAAGTGGAAATTCTCCCCTGGGTTATGTTCTGATGAAGATTCTAGAAGGAACTGGCCCAAAACATGATGAAGCAGGGCAGCTCAGGCCGGCTTACAGGAAAAGGAGTTGTGGGATCCTCCCGCTCCCTAAAATCTGGCTAAGGACCCGCAGGTCCCTGTGTGCCGTCTCACCTGAATGATTGCCCTGCCTCTCCCTAGTCCTGCTCTGACATGCCTTAGCTTTTTATCAGTAAGATCAGGCACTTTGGTGGATTCTGCAGCCTGGACTAGTTATGAGGCAGAGAGCTTGCAAGAGTCAGGTACTGTCACCCCAAAGACTGAGAGGTGGCACCCAGGACTGCCATGCAGAGATGCCCAGTGGCCAATGATCATTCCCTGGCTGAACCCCTTGCCTCCCTGCCGCAGGGGCCTGGTCAGCTGGGCCAGCTCTTCAAGGGAGCCCCGCATGGCTCCTGAATGCTCACCTTGAACCCCGGCTTGCTCTGAGCACCAAGTGCCACTTGTTCAGTAATTTCACGCTACGCCGCCTGGCAGTGTAAGCGTGGAGGCCCAATCTAAGGCTGTACGTCCCAAATGTCGCTTGTGAACACATGGCTGAACCTAAAATAGCTTTTAATATCTAGGCAGTCCCCGGCCCCGCACAGTTTCAGCTCTGATAGCCTCTCCCGGAAAAGCTTGGCCCCGGGCTCTTGGTTCCACCGCAGCTCCCTCTGTGGCAGGAGGTCACGGCACATGTAGGTCCTGAGGATTCTATCTCTCTTCCTTGAGTCTTACCATGTAATTCAAACAACCAAACCACACGCCCCAGATATTGACTCCTTTAGATCAAACAGGCAAAGCCTGATGATTACATGTCTCCTCTTTTAGTGACACCCGGAGTCCCCACCGGTGACAATTCCGTCATGATTTTCTGAATTAAGTATAAAAAGCAAGATGCTTTCAAATCCTGGGAGCACCTCCCCCCTCTTCCTTACTACAAAGCCCATTTCCTTTTCTAAACTGCACCGAAATAGGAAAGCTAGAGAAACAGATAATCAGAAAAATAAAGGCTAGTCAATTTGTTTAGAACAGCACTGCCCAATAGAAATAGAACACAAGCCATATTTGTAACCTCAATGTTTCTGGTTGCCACATTCAAAAAGTAAAAAGAAACAGGTGACATTCACGTTAATGATATATATTGTATAACCTAAGCTATGCAAAAGTATCAATCTACATAACCAATATATATATATATTTTTTTTATGAGATATTTCCTGTTCTTTGTTAGACACTGTACATGTGTTACACTCACAGCTCATCTCCATGCAAATGGGCCATATCTCAAGGCGGCCACACCACACCCGTGTGTGGCTACTGGCCATGGTTTGAACATCACTGCTTCGATCCTCTTTGCAAAAGTCTGAGGTCTAGAAAATGCTACATGAGTCAGGGTCTAGAGCCCAGGTACACTTCCTCCACACTGACCCCACCATTTGTCCTGATCCTGGGCCTGACTAGGAATAACTAAGCGATTGTGCGGAGAAACCCCAGGCTCCAATGTGCAAGGCTGGCAGAAAATGCCCGTTTTCATCCCGTCTAAGGCTAGCTGGAGGAGCTTCTGTTCCATACGCCCCAGTGCCAGAGCGAGATACCCACAAGTGGCTGGACCTGCCTTTGCCATGGAGAGAGAGGGCCAGCGGGGCTGAAGCCCATGAGCTGGGGAAGATAAACCTGAGTCCAACCTGATGGGAGAAGCCTGCATGCCGTCTTCCTCTATGGCAGACGAGACAGGCATTGAGGGCTGCAGTAACAGTCCTGGCAGGAAGGCCAGCTGGGAAAGGGCTGGGCCTGCTGCCAGCCCGAAAGTCCTCTTCCCTGCTTCTCCCTCCAAGATTCCACCATCCCCCAGTCAACTGGGTAGGCCTGCATTTCATTAGCCCTGTGTGCATCCTGTCACCTGGATCTCCAAAGCCACTTTAAACCTCCATGGGAGAGAAGCAAGAGGAAGGAGATGAGGCAGACATGACCCAGCCTCACACCCAGCAAACCCATGGACTTGCCATAGCACCTTCCATGCTATCAATCAAAACCACAAAGACAGAAGCACTCAGAGCTGAGGGAATCTGAGAACAAGCACTCAGTTCAGATGTCACAGTTTTTAGCTAATAATCCACGCTTAGAGACACAGAATGGCAAATTACTGGGGGGAATCAAAGGAGTCTCACCTTTCAATATCCTCCAGGGGCAGCAATGCAATAGGCAGCCCTGTGGAGTCTGCCAGGAGACAGGGGCCCCCAAATCTAGGCTTGCCCAGACCCTATTTGCTGCATGTCCACCCATCCCACTCATGCCTTGTCCCCATTTCTCCAGGTGACAAATGTTCTGGGAACAAGTTCACTGTGATCTCAGAAACAGACCCTGATGGAACGTTTAGGCTCCCAGCCAACCGGTGCATAGACCTAGGCCCCAAAGAGGTGGCTGGAAGGGACTGGGCCCCTTTTTAGTCTTCCATGGAATCTGAGGGCACTTACCTGAGTGGCCACCTTGCCATAATCAATCCACCGCAGGGTGGCAAAATTGGTCGACTCAGCACAATTGAATCCGTGGTTGAAGCCAGCATGGTAACCATAAGGAAATGTGATCATGAACTCCCCGGCCTCCTGCGTGATCTGAGGAAAAAAGAGTCCAACAGGTAAGGGTAAGGACCAGAATTAGAGGGAAAAGGATTTCATGCATGGCTCACCTGCCAGAAGCAACGCCTGGACTGGAGCAGAGACAGGCTGGTGACAAAGGCCACCGGGAGCCACCGAGGAGCACAGAGGAGGACGTGGGCTCCAGGAGTTCCCCAAAAGTGCCAGAGAGCCTAACTTTGTGAGTCAATGGAGTTTACCAAGTGAAAGGTGGCTCTATCTAATTTCACAGGCTCCAGCCCATTTCCATGGGGCTGATAAAGTAGAGATGACAGTGGCCAGGTCAATGGCTCACTATCAGCCCCTGCTCATCATAGCCCAGTTGAGGCTCCAAGGTGACAGACACAGTTGGCACTCTGCAGATGGGGTGAACTGCAGTTACAGAGGGACTGCTAGATGCTACCTTTCTAGGCACTTCTCCCTTTTGTTGAGGAGGGGGTCTCCAGTTTTGGAGGGAGGTGGCCATGTCACACTTCCTGTCCACTGTGAGACATTCCCATACATCAGGGGCAGACAGCACTGATGTTAGCTGCAAAACCTCTGAGCACAGGACAGGTGTACATGCAGTACCTGGTCCTTTCCCTAAAATTACATAAATCCCCTCACCATCATAAGCACAGAATCTGTCCTTTTTATTCCAAGAGGTGGGTCCTTCTAGATGATGTCAAAGAGACCAACAAAACACATCAGCATGTGGAAGAAAACAATGTCAAGGTCAGAGCTCTGAAGAGAGAGCTGATATTTCTCAATCTATTCAAATAGTCTGGACAACCAGACGCTGAAACAGAGATTCTAAAACCAGGACTGGGCATGACTGGCAGGATAGAGCTTACAATACCCCCAGATTGATGCTTCTGAAACCACCACCTGAAAGCCCAGAGGAAAATGGGGGGGTGGGGGGGGGACGCGAGCCTGCAATCTCAACTCCCATCCAGGGAGTGGATGACCGCTCTTTAGAAGTTGGGCTGCTGGCCTAATCCATAGTTGTGAAGCTGAGGCTGGTGGCCTGGGAAAAACTCTCTGAAGCCGGGCCTATCTATTCCTTGATTTATATAGTCATCAGATGGCAAAGACCACAGGTTGTGCAGAGTCTAAGTATCCACCACCCCAGAAAGAAAGAAACCATTTCTGTACCGTGGGAACTGAAGGACCTCAGTACATTCACACCAGTGTGCTTCCTGCCACCATGGATTATGTTTCTCTCCAGGGTAAAAATGGAACCAGACAGTCTGTACTCCTGCGTCTGGCCTCTTTGCTCTTTGAGACTCATTCAGTGCGTGTGCACACGAGTCTTCTAAAGGGAGTTCTGTCATGGAGATGTGTCACTATTACCCATTCTCCTGTGTACAGACTTTGGGACTCTGGTGAATAGAGTTGCTGGGCCAGTCTCCTTGCAGCATGTGTTTGCATTTCTTTTGAATAAACAGACCAGAAGAGCGTCGGGGGAACAGGAGGGGGGGAGGTTCAGGGTCTCAAGTCAGGTGCATGGCCACATCTCCAAGAAACTGCTGCTTTTCTACAGAGGCTGCCCATTTGCACCCCCAATGGTGGTTAGAGTTCTTTGTGCTCCCCTCTTAGCATTTGGACATGTGCAGTGGGATCTCCTTAGCTTTGGTCATCTTTCTCCGAAATCCACAGGATGTCACACCATGTCGGTTTGTGCAAACTTCTGCAAAATCTGTTCAAGCCTTTCACCCCTCTCTATTTATCTCATGGTTCATCTTTTTATTGTTGATTTGTCGGTGTTCTCATGCCTGCTGATCTTTACTTATTCCCCCAGAGAGATGAGCAGAAATCACTGGATTCATTTAAGTACCAGTGATGGGGGGGAGAATGGGCAGCAGGAAGGGGGGGTAAGACTTCCAGAAGCCAACCACAGAGTCAAAAATCAATCAAAACTGACACAGCCTGGAGAAAAGCCAGCCCTTCAGAACACTAAGATATTTTTCTTTTCAAATAATAAATTGCACCAATCAAGGAAAGTCAGTGTGCATTAAGTTATATTTTTAAATTCCTGTCCAAGTGACAGCCAGAGCAGGGAATGAAGCATGAAGCAGGGGATGGGGGGAGAGAACACTCATGGTCCTAGCTACGCCATCCACAGCAGGGTTCTCTGGGCTACAGCCCAAAGCAGGATTTAGAGCTTTGATTTTTTTTTTTTTTAATGCAATTGCTAATTTTCTTATTTTATTTAAGCTGACCCTGGAAAGCGCTGTCTCACTTTTCCTCCACCGTCAACTTGCACACTCCCCTTCTCTCCACCAGGGCATGGCACCATGTGGTGGAAGCACAGAGCCTTCTGGGGGCTTAACAGGGTCCTGGAGATGCCAAGCTCAACAACCCAAGTGTGGGAGAGGCACCTCCACTCCAGGCTCAGGCAGACTTTGGGGCCTGACACCCCCCCTACCCCCTCCATAAATCAGGGCCTAGAACAGAAAACACACTCAGGAGGACAGGAAAATTATGTTCCTGTCAGAAATCTATGCCCCAGTGGCTTCATTTCAAGCCCACAGTGTCTGTCCTCTGTGTCACTGCCATCAACATGATCCCGACAGTAAGTTAGAAGGCACTGGGGATGATGGACAGGCAAGGTGGCAGTGCCAGTCCCAAACGCCAGTCATGAGGAAAACCCGGAATTTGGTTTCTTGTGCAAGCTGGCACAGAATAAATGAGGACGTCAATGACAGATTCCAGAAACACACACTTTTAATTATTAAAAAGCTTGCTATTGATCTGTGCTTTCTTCCAGAGGTAAATACCATTACAGAGATTTATAAGTGGAGTGTGGAAGTCACTCCTTTGAAGGCTGCTAGGAACTCAGAACAGGGATCCACATTGCACCCTGGCGGGCACCAGAGACAAGGGCCCTCGCCCTGCTGGCCTCAGAAGAAAAAGGGAGCCCTGCCAGCCAACTCCTGCATCCCTGACCAGGAAGCACCACTAGGAGAATGTTCTTAACAAACCACAGGGGAGCAAGTACTTCTCACTTCCATGAGCAATGCTGTGATCTGTTCATGAGGCTCCTGGTAACAAAGAGTGTTCTGAACGAAAACAGAGAGAAAACTGTGAACCTGTTATTTCTCAAAGCAAAATACCCTGCAACCTGATGAACAAGCAGTGGCTGCAAGTCGCTTCCTGGTTGTGGCTCCAACAGAAAGAAGGAAGCCCAGATCCGAGCACTAAAGCTGCCAGCAATTAGACTGAAATAGAAGCAATTTCCCACTGGCTGACTGACACTCAGGTGAGAGTGAGGCACGAAGGTCTGATCACAGAACTTGCCACCATACTTGACAAATCGTTCCTCTGAGGAAACCTTCAGAAGCCAGGCTCCCACAGGGTCCTCCTTCCCTGGGTGGCCCTTGTTCTAGAACTTTCTTAAGGGTTAAAAAGCCAGTTTCCTTGGGTGTCTGTGATTACCCCTCCTGGAGCAGCCCCTACGTACCCGGCTGAATGGGATCCCGTACTTCTTGAGGATGATGGGCGAGATGAGGGTCATCTTGTGCCGAAGGAAGGCGTCACAGCCCTGGGAGCTCCCGGGGAAGAACCCTGGAGTGAAAAAGACGGGCATCAGTTTAAGGACCAGAGTGGGGGCTGGGCCAGGACAGCTCTTTCTGGGCAGCTCTTTTCTCCTGTCAGAGCACAGAGCAGGGTGCCTGCAGAGCCAAGTGTATCAATCACATGGACCATCATACACCCATGAGCTCTGCTGGTGACCGCAATGGTGACACTCCCTGGCTTCATTTAGTGAACCTGGAACAGAGGGCAAGCCAGGCTGTCTGTGTGACAGGGCGCACACCACAGCACACCTGCCAGAGATGGGGCATGGGACGTGGTATAGCTGCACAAACTCTTCCCCTCCAAATCCCTCCAAAGACCAACTGTGTTGCATCCAAATGGTCATTTAGCCACGTGAGAACACAGCCCAAAAGAAAGCTAAAGTTCTAGACCAGACAAGCTGTGATAAGTGAGAAGTGAGTGGTGCTCTCCACACATATACGACCGAGTCTGCAATAAAGAGTGGCCCTTTGAGAACACAGCCACTGGGCAAGTAAGGAAACAAAGGCTCAGGCCATCAAGTAATCTGCCCAAGGCCTATAGTCCTGTGGAGAAATGGCAGAGCAGCCCCATCTTGGCTGCGTCCACAACACAGGTCCCTAACCCTGTTACAAAGTTTGCATTTGGGCATGGTTTTTGTCCAAGACTAAATATATACACCGTGTAACTAACCTAAGGTAATATTTATAAACATGTGGAACTCGGCCATCAGCTCTACCTGCTCAGAAACCGTGTTTAACTAACACAGCTCAGGGACACATCCAAACCACTTGCTGGCTGAATCTTTTTTTTTTTTTTTTTAAATATATTTTATTGATTTTTTACAGAGAGGAAGGGAGAGAGATAGAGAGCTAGAAATGTCGATGAGAGAGAAACATCGACCAGCTGCCTCTTGCACACTCCCTACTGGGGATGTGCCCGCAACCAATGTACATGCCCTTGACCGGAATAGAACCCAAGACCTTTCAGTCCGCGCTCTACCACTGAGCCAAACCGGCTTCGGCAGCTGGCTGAATCTTAAATCAGTGACAGCGGCATCCTGTGGTTAAAGGAAAGCAAGTTCTGGAATTCCACTTGAAGGTCTGCAATTCCACCAGAAGGCAGCCGGTCTCCTCATCGCGAACCTTCATCAAGAGGTGGCAAAGAAGGGCTGCCGTGAGGATTCGGTGTGGAGCATCCACTGCCCTCCAGGACTGACCCTGTGGCACGGCCAGCCCAACGACTCTTCTGGAAGCTGACACAGGCCTTGATACCCACTTTTGATATGTTGTTGGTCCGAGAGGACACATTCGCATGTGGATGCGCACATATGTGCACATGCTGACTTGGGGAGAAGGGGCTTTGACACTTTCCATGCTGGCAGATGGCGTCCGGCTGAAAGTACACATTGGCAAGGTTCTGGAAAGTGCAAAGGATTATTGAATCCTGCAACTTTCCTCTGCACTAAAAGCATTTCAATTAGAGTTATGGCTGCCTGCCGCCTGGCCCGCCGGCCTCTCTGCAGTTCCTCTTTTTAATGCACAGTTTAAGTGGCTCTCATTAAAGCTCTAATAAAGGCGCACATTTTAAGTGATTAGCACCAATAATGTGCCAACACATTAATGCTCTGTGGGCTCCACAACTCTCCCAGTGAGCCCATTTGGAGTGCAGCTATTCATTTTCCATATTAATCACAAATTCATTCCACCCATCTCAACAATGGAGTCGGAGATGCTGCCCCCAACAAAGTTTGAAAGAGGCACCGAAGGGGGCAGTGCCCCGGAACTCCCTGTCCTTTCTCAGGGGAGGGGAGAGCAGGCCTGAGTGAGGGGCCATGGAGGAAGGCCTCGCCACAGCTTTCGGACCCTCCTCCAGTGCCGGAAGCCCAGTTTCTCAAATTCCAGCCACCCTGCCGAGGAGTTTTAATGAGTCCCTTTTGTTCAAAAAGCAGGGATAGGTGGCCTCCCGTAGACCTCAGAGCTTGCTCACTCTTCCTCTTCCAGCCCCAGCCAATAAACTTCCTACCCTCTATACAGGACCTCCCGCCCCCACCCCAACCTCAAGGGCCAGAAACTACATGGACAGCAAGGCCCTGGTTGTAGGCATGGTGCAGGAAGTTTCAGGGAAAGCACCGTCAGTTTAGGCAGGTGGCCCCAGAGCGTACCTAGGTTCTCTAGCTTGCACTCAGATCATCTAAAACTTTTCTAATAAAAAAGGCACATTGAACGACAATAGTCCCAGCGTGGCTAACGGTTGAACTTTAGAGAAGTTATTGGCGAGGGTCAGGTGATGTCAGCCTTGTGTTCGCCAGGGCATGTCCATGCTGACTGCCCGGGGATGTTTTCTCCGATGGCTCAGTAGGTGTGGCAGGCTGAACAGTGGCTCCCCACAATGCCCGTGTCCTAATCCCCAAACCTGTGATATGTTCCCTTCTCTGACAAGAGGGACTTTGTAGATAGGATTAAATTGAAGCCCCTGAGATGGGGATGACTCTAGATTTCCCAGAGAGCCAATGTCATCACAGGGTCCTCATAAGAGGTTCTCAGGAGCAGCAGTCGCCAACTGGTGGTCCGCAGACCACTGATGGTCTGTGAGGTCTGAAAGGTTGCTCAGGAGGGTCAGAGTGAAGATGGAGAGGCTGAGCTGCTGGCTGTGAAGATGGAGGAGGGGGCCACGAGCCTGGGATGCGGCACCTCTAGAAGCTAAAAAAGCTGGAAATTATTCTCCCTGGAAACTCAGGATGGACCAGCCCTGCCCACACTTGGGTTTTAGGTTCAAAAGGTTCATTTTGAACTTCGAGGAAATGAATCTGTGGAGTTGTTTGTTTTTAATTAGAACTTTTAAAAGAGTAATTTAAGATTTACAGGAAAATTGAGAGAATTTGTATTGTTTTAAGTCACTGCTCTTGTGATAACTTTTTATAACACAAGAGTAAACTAACATAATGGGAAAATAATTTTATAACTTATATTCTTAAATTAAAATTTGTATTTTAGCCCTGGCTGGTGGCTCAGTTGTTTGGAGAGTTATACCACGAAGCAAAAGGTTGGGAAGTTAATTACAATCAGGGCACATACGTATGTTGTGGGTTCGATCACCAGTTGGGGCATGTATGAATGGCAACAAATCTCCATGTTTCATTCTCAAATCGATCTTTCTCTTTCTCTCTCTCTCTCTCAAAATCAATTAAAAAAAAAACATACTAGTATCCTCAGCTGAGGATTTTAAAAAATGTATTTTAAATGTCTACTAGTATTTTTTAAATATTTTATTGATTTTTTACAGAGAGGAAGGGAGAGGGACAGAGAGCTAGAAACATCAATGAGAGAGAAAGGTACATGCCCTTGACCGGAATTGAACCTAGGACTTCTCAGTCAGCAGGCTGATGCTCTATACAATGAGCCAAGCCGGTTTTGGCTCTACTAGTATTTTTTAAAATGCAATGGGAAAACATCTTAAATCTGGTTTTTATTTTAGAGCATAATATGTGAAATAGGCCTTGACTAGGGCTCTGTGCAACTGTGGCATTTCTACCATGAGAGCATGTTCTGGAGAGCAGGGCGCAGCTCTTCCCATGAGGACAGGGTTCAGGTCTCCAACAGAATCGTTAAACAAACCACCACCCTCCACCTGGGAGGCTGGGGGCACCTACCCACTCCCCCTTCCTCCATTCTCAGGATCTGTCACTGGCGTGTAGTATTTGCTGAGCAGGCACACTGCTGTGAGTGCAGCTAGGACAGGGGTCCCTATTTTTCACAAAGACCCACATTCCCATCTCCAAGTGAAAACATCAATGGGAAGGGATAAAGCGTGACGGGCTTTTTTGGTGAGGTCTGAGGAGGGGCCAGAGGACTGTGGCTGCAGTGAGAGCGCCTGCACCAATGTTGAGCGATGACTTCCAGAAGGCTCTATGGCTGCTTTGGGAGGGTTGAGCTGCCTGTCACTGCAACCTGGAGGGTCAGGATGATCAGATGGGGCCTGTGCTGTTGGAGTGGCTCCCAAACAATCACCCCACCCCGACCTGAGTGCTGCCTTTGAGGAAGGGACTGGCTCTCCAGATGACAAGCAAAGGCCAGACCCCGTTGGCTCTTGACAGAAAGCAGGGTGCCATGAAGGGTGCCCCCTCTCCAGACATGGTCTGGACCCCCTCCCCCACAGACAAATCCATTGGCCCCATGAGGCCCCAGCAAGGATCCAAATACAGATGGTAAGACAGTAGCTATTGGAAGGGACAGTTGATAAGGGAGCCCAGGTGAGACAGAACCCTGCACAAAAGGGTAGGGACCTTGTGGTCACCATGCACTCCGAAGCTCAGGTGAGGGTGCTCCTAATTTCTCATTTTCCAGACTGAACAAAGACTTGAAGACTTAGAAAAGGGTAAGATGCAGTACCATGCGTTGGGGGAAGAGGAGACAGAACACAGCTGTCCTCTCTGGTCCTCAGAGCCTGTGGTTACAGCCAAGAACTGCATGCTAAGAAACCGGAAAACAAGGGCGTTTAAAGCAATGGCATTCTGTGCAGAATCCATGAAGTGACAAACCCCCAAGCAGATGGACCACGGACCTAATCACAGGGATGCAAGAAAATGGTAAAATAAGACAGTGACATCTTACAACTCCCAGGAATTGAAAACCAGGCACACAGCAAAACTGCTTCCCTACCCCACCTGCCCCTCCTCACCCTGTCCAGCTCCCAGACCCCAGCCCTTGGCCGCAGACACCTACCAATTGCCAGCCGCTCCAGGCGCTTGCCATGCTCCGGTGGGATGGCGTACCTACAAGAAGGAAGGCATGTCAGAAGTGAGCTCATATGGCCACCACACACTTGAGAGTCCCCAGGGAGCGATGACTTCCAGAAGGCTCTATGGCTGCTTTGGGAGGGTTGGGCTGCCTGTCACTGCAACCTGGAGGGTCAGGATGATCAGATGGGGCCTGGAGAGACACACAGATCATGCACAGAGCAGTCGTGTGACGTAGCTGTGGTCAGCGCTGAGGGGAGTGGCGCTGTCAGAGAAGGAATTCCACACAGAAGGGGTTGGTGAGGCAGAAGGGCTACAGACTAGGGACCCAGGGGGTTGTGACAGCGCTCTTGAATGCCAGGAGTGAAGACATTCCCTGTTAAGCGACACTAAACCTCGATAAGGCTTACAAAACAAAAAAACACAATAAAAGCACTGGCTGGAGCTGGAGGAGTGGGGACGCTGGCTGCCTTGTGTCGCCAGCCTGCCTTCCCAGGCCCAGGAGCCAAGGTGGGAAGAGGCTTCAGGGAGGAGAAGAATTTCACCTGTCACCCACTTCATAAGCTTTATTTTTTCTCATTTTACATTTGAAAGAGTATGAGGCTCCATCATAAATAAATTTTTTTAAAAATGTGCGGTGGAAGCATACAAACAAATGAAGGGAGAATAACACCCCGCTGATGTTATTGTGAGGAAGTTGACAGGACAAGAGGCCTGGACTGGGGTTGGGAGGTGGGGGTGTAGCGGATAATACAGTGGTGCTGAGAAGCCCCAACCCAAATGACATGCCAGCCCCAGCCCACGTTAGGGGACTTGGTAAGATGAAAACTTCAATTTCTGGACAAATGCAGGCAGAACTGCAAGTTCTAATGACACAAAATGCTGAGCACACTCAAGTCCCATCTAGGAGGGACTCCAGGAAAATTGGTCTCACCCCTCTCCCTCCACACCCCCACTGCCAAGTACACTAAGCCATGTCCCCATGGTTGTCATGACTAGAGGTGCTCCTGGCATACCGTGGGTGGGGGCCAGGGATGCTGCTCAGCCCCCCACAGTGCCCAGGACTGCCCCCTAAAGAGAATGATAGGGCCCTAAATAGTGCTGAGGACAGACCCTGTTCCAGAATAAAAAAGGCCACTATCTCACATTCTAGAATGAGTCAGATGTGAAGATGCATCATTGACCACTCCCTCCTCCCTCCCTCATGATGCAGGCAAAGGATGGGTACCACAGGGAACATGGAAGATTGCTCAGATGCTGTAGCTGGTTAAGTCTCTTCCAACTGAGAGGTCTATTATTCTTTTTTAATAAAATAAAAGGGGCGGGGTATAAGATAAGTGAGTCTTGTGTTGTCTCTAATCTAAAGGATAAAAATAATTAATTTCTGGGCACTCTGGGGCCCTTGAGGAGATGGCCCCAGCACCTTCAATTCTGTTGTTGTCAGATAATTTTCCATCATCTGTACAAAGATGAGGTTACTCTTTTTAAAATGGCCTTTTATCGCTTACACAAAGTTAACCCCAATCTGAAGCATCTTTGTGGGATTACTGTCCCCCCGCCAAATGGGGAAATGAAACATTCTGTCCCTTCTGGGAAGACGCCAGCAGACTGGAAGGACTAACTCGTGGCACCAAGGCTGTGATGATTAATGCAGTATCCCCAGTCTACAATGCTGCTTTCACTTAATTACCGCCTGTAATTGGGAGTTGTAAAGATAAGATTAATTGAGTCTGGTGAATGTTAAAAGTTTAATACATTGGAACGTGGCTCCTCTGTTATCAGAAAGTACAGACGGCAGGACACTAGGCTAAGCGCTCCGGAGAGCAGCCCCTGGGGAGATTAGAAAGACTCTAGGAAGGGAAACCAGAGCCATGAGGCCTGCCGGCTCCAATGTCCCAGAGCCAGGAGTGCCCCCCACCGTTTGGACCAATTCAGTGGCAGCTTCGGTGGTGCCAAGAAGCCCCATTGCCAATGACATGCCAAGCCCCAGGGACATGGCAAGATGAAAACCTGTTTCCAGAGGAAGGCAGGTACAACTGGGGCACGGGTCCTTAATAACACGGAACACTGAAGATGAGCCGGTCGAAGGAAGAGCGGGAGGGGGAAAGTAAAGACTCCATAGCCACTGGACCACGACCGAGTCCTGCGGCTTTCCAATGGCTGAAGAAACTCCGGAACTGTGGGCCACAGTTCCCCCTGGGCCCTCTCCCACCAGGTTTGACCTTTTGGGTGCCCCGGTGAGCCCAATGACATAGGGGTCCAGTGAACCAGTCACAGAGCTGCCTTCCAACAGGGGCTGACATTTGCCACTGGAGAGAAGCACCCAGGACCCTGTGGGGATCCCAGAGCAGAGCCTTGTGGGGGGGGGGGGGTCCCACCTCGGGCCCCCAAGAGCCCTGTGCACAGTATCCTTGTCACAGTCCCACCCAGTGTCTTACCACCAGATCAGGCTCTCAGGTTTGGCTCAGGAAGGAAAAAAAAGGGAAAGAAGGAGAAGCAGTTATTGGAGCTGAGTGAGTGTGTTCGCTAACCCTCAAGGCAGGGAGCATCTGTCAGGACATTAGTGAGTGAGTTCTCGGAGCCATAAAAGAGTCAGTATATTGGTCGCCAACATTTGGGCAGTCTGTCTTACTTCCCAAGAGATCTATCCCCATCAGAAGGTCACATCTCAGGGCCAAAATAATCAGTTTTGCCAGCCTGCAACCCCAGGCAGCCTCTCTTTATATGTGACAGCCCTGGTCACCTGCGTAGCAGAGGGTTCCTTGGGCAGAACCATGGGAGCTCTGTTCTGACTACCTGTTTGTCTCGGCTAATTGGGCTAACATGAAGTCTCCAGTCTCTCTCCCTCTTCCAGCTCAGCCCCAATGCTGCTCAGAACCTCTCCTGGCCCCCCAAGCCTACTCTCCACCAGCATAAGCGTTCTTCTCCAGCCTCTCCAGTGAGGCTGGTACCCCTCATGCCCTGATACACGTAGGCCCTCAAGCGTCCTCAAGGGCTGGCCACGTGCTTCAGTCAACCTGCTTCCCCTTCCCGACAAGTAGCATCTAGTGGGCCCTCCTGGGAAGTCAACTTCCTAGGCCAGTGGGAGGGCATGGAGAGACTGCACCCAGCACAGTCATGCTGGCACAATCTGGAGATGTGAGGAGAAAGGAACAGGGCAGAGTGCAAGGGAGACAAGAGCAGGGGCTTTGGAGGTAGAGGCAGAAATAAGAGGAGGTTCAGGCTACCTGTGCAGAGTCACCCAGGGCCCTCCGGCCACAGTCCCCAGCCCTGCCTGTGGGAACCTGGCTCTAAGACAGTGGCTGAGGGCAGTCAGAGCAGGCACCCTCTAGAGGACATGTTTGCCACCACTTTGGACACAAGGCAAGTCCCAGAACTGAGGTTACCAAGCCAGAATTGCCCTTCCAGAACTTTCTCCAGAGCTATCCTCCATCCACCTGTGTCTTTATCTCCATATTTTAAAACCCCTCCCTACTTTCTGCTTTTGAAGGTTTTTTTGTTTTGTTTTATTTTTTGACACAAAGTACATCTGGACGACTCTAAACCAGAACGTCACAGAAAATTTGGTTCATATCTTTGGCTGCATGGTCGGAATGGTATCCTGGCAACCAGTCAGGTAACCCTGCAGGGGCTGCAGCAGGACTTGACAGGCTCCATAACCCTGCTTTAATGTCGTGGAAGCACAGAAGAGGCCAAGAGAGACAAATCGGGCGTCATTTGCCAGAGCTGTTGTCAGAAAGGCAGTTGTCTGCAAATAGCAGGGGCTTCAGTGAGGAAATGACATGTTTTTAGACTAGGAATAAAGCTCATGGGATACAACAGGAGATACAGTAGCCCAGAAACCGGGTCGCCATGGGGACCCAAGGCCCCCTCCAAAAGCTATATGATAGTTAAGAAACAACAGTTCAGTAGTTTCACAGTTCAACCAATAGACTCACCAACATGTTTGAGAATCTGACCTGAGGTTCAGGAACATATCAGAAAGACTGGACACCGGAGAGAAGCTTCATTTGGCCCAATGTTCCTGGCTTACCACTGAGGCCAGAAGATAAGACCTCTCACCAGGCCCTGCTGAGGCCAGGCCCTCCTCCAGACCAGTGGCTTGGGACACCTCGAGGACCTGGACCTTAGGGCTTCTGCTAGGCAGGTCATGGCAGACTCCAGAGGACCAATAAAGAAATTCCAGGGTTTGTGACGTTGGGTGCTGGGAGGCCTCAGCAGGCTGGCCAGGTGGCTCTTGGCGGAGCCAGTGATTACAAAGAAATGTGTCCTCTGTGGGCAGGATTGCTCGCCTCAGCCAGGGGACAGGCATCCTCCATTTCACCAACACGCCGGGGAAGTCTCCTGTCCGCCAAAGAGGATGCTATTAATAGTGTCATTTTCTCGGTGTTTTGTTTATTCCCCTGGAATGGCTTGATGGATGTGAATAATTATCAGACTATAAAAGCCAGCAAATGTGCTACTTTCTATCGCTCTAAATCATCAAACAAATAAAGTGTGAAACAGCATTTTTAAATATAATTTTCCCCTCTAATGGCTTAGAATTATTATCAAGAACAATGAAAATAAATAAGCAAATGCCTTGTGAGTTAAAAATTAAATGAGTGTGTCAGGAAGAGGAACACAGAGCATCTTGGAGAGCAGGATCTGCTCGGGGGCCATTAGTTATGAGGTCGACGTGCGACAGGGCCTCACAGGACTAACTGGCTCTCAGCATGGATTCCTACCATTCCCTATATCCACCAGGAATAGGCGCCTGCAGCCATCTCCCTGAATGGGTGATGTGGTGAGAGAGGGCTATACTCCGGTGCATGCACCACAGTACCTGCCACCAGCTGACCCCAAGCAGCCCCAGGATCAATGTGTCTTTGCCCTAGGACAGCCATACAAGACCCCAAAAAGCGAAGGTGGTTGGCCCTGCCCCTCCTCTCCTCGGCCATGGACAGGCAATGCCAGAGAGACTGCTGCCTCTCAGACCAGCAAGAAAATCCGTGGTCACGGAGCAAACCCTCAGGACCAGAAATGTGAAACTCCAG